TTTTTTTTTTTTTATCATGTAGATTTCTGCTAGAAATCAGAGCAGCCTCTCGGGCTGTGAATCCACACGTTTCTGAGCAACCCAGCCAGATCTGCAGATTTACCATGGTCGAGGGCAGAGGAGCAGAGGGACAGGCTCCCCGGGGGGGCTGTGCCGTCCCCGTCCCTGCGGGTTTGAAGACCGGCTGGGGGAAAAGCCCTGACCCCGGAGCCGGCCCTGCCTGGGGCTGGGGGTGGACCTGAGCCCACCTAAATCCTTTCCCATCGGGATTATCCTAGGACCCTGTGAATTGTGTGGAAAAGACAATTTGCTAAACATCAACCGAAAACTTTTATAGCTATTGTAAAGGCTTGCTCCCGATTCACGTGTACCACTTTTTTTTTTTTTTTTTTTTTTTTTTTTTCTGCTGACCTCTCCTGTGAGCCCTAAATGAACCCATGAAAATGCGAAGGGGAAAGCATTAAATTGATCCGGTCTGAAATGATCTATTTATTTTGGTGTGGCTGCCAAACCGAGAATCATGGTCCCATCTGTACTGCAGCACCGGCCAGGCGTCTCAGCTCATTGGGATAGGCACTTAACAGAGACTGAAATGTGGTGCCAGAGAATTTACTGTCAAAGCAAACGCTGGGAAAATATGGGTGGCTCTCACAAACACCTGACAGAAATACAAGGTTACTGTGAGGATCACAAGCGCTCCCCTGGGACTGCAGTTCCTTGACCATAATCAAGGTGTTTGGTGTGTTTTCTCTGCAGGACTCGCAGCGGAGGTGACCTTTAAGGGAGGGTTTGAAAGAGGAAAAGCAGGTCTCCTGTTAGATTTTGAGAGGGGAATTCTTTCTGTCCATTCAGGCTGGCACGGAATGCAATTCAGAACTGAGAGGTATGATGCAGCAGCAGCCAAGCCGGTGTTTGTATCGGAGCAGGGGCAGGGATCAACATCTCTGTAATAGTTTGTGTTTGAAGCAATAGGGAAGAGCAGCCAGTGGAGGGCTGCGAACAGCGGAGTCATTTGGCTGAAGCAATGAGCCAGAAAAATTATCTGTGAAGAACGATGGCTAGAAGTGAGGTGGTTTGGGATTTGTCAGGGTCAGAGAGATATTTCTAATAGTCGAAGACAGAGGTTAATCAAGACCAGTATGAGCATTTTGCAATGTGCAGTTAAAAGTCAAAACTCTGACTTTTGTTGTCTAAGACAGACCTTAGAAATGTTGTCCAGGAAAAAGCACAGAATTTGACTCTAACGCCAGTGGAGCTTACACCAAATTATGTGAACTAATGCTAGGATTTTTCTCTTCATCAATGTGGATAATACCGCTTCTGGGAAGCAGAGGCAATATTAAATTGTTGCATCTATGTAATAGATCGTAACTTCATCTCCCTGCCTTTATTCTCATTTAAGTGTTTAGGATTCTTTAAAACTGTTGGTGATAAAATAATGAAGATATAGTCCAAGTCCAGCAGTACAGCTACTCAGGACCCGTGAACAGCACAGGCAGTTACTGAATATATTTCTAGCTTACTACTTGCACCCAATTAATATAAAATGGTTTATTAGCAATTAAATAGTTTACGTTTAAGTTTTTAAAATGTTTGGGAGATAAATATTTGAGGAAACAGAAGCCATTACAGGTGCTTTCTCTGTTTAGCTACTTGGCACGTCAATTTATTATTCCATTTATTGCAAGAAACTAAAATGATTCAAAAAAGCAAATGCTTCCTCTTTGTACAAATTGCCCATGAAGCGAATCATTAAGAGATAGGATGTATCTGTTGTACAGAAGAGTTGCTCTGTGCAGCTGATTGTTATGGTCCAGGCTGTGCAGTACAGACAGTTCTTCGTAATAATCTCTGCTGTGATAACAAAGAAGTATAATGAAGAATTTAGGTGGCATTATTTTTTAATAACAAAAAGGAAGAGGTGTTTCACTCCAAGTTTTAAGAACACTTGAAAACAAAACCTCTTGCTTCTCTCTCATATCTCTGGATAGGATGTTGGCCTTTAGCACAGTTCACAGTAAATTTAATATGCGACACCTCCCCTTATTCCTTGTCCCACTCCAGTTGTTCCTCTGGGTCTTCCTTGGCCATGAGGGTCTCTGGTGGTGGGCATCAGACGGGGCACTGGCTGTGCATCTCTCCCACCCTGCTGATCTCAAGGTCCTGCTTCTGCAGCTGGAGGCAACTGCAACTTCTCTCGCCTCTACCACCAGCTCTGAAGTCCTGTTCTTAAACTGAGGCGGTGGTGAGGAATGATTTATTCAGGAATTATTAAACAAAGAGTGAGGGCCCATAGGGATGGGCATTGTGAAGGCCTGTAACAGAAAGATATCCCTCATGTCTAAGTAATGAATGGATGGCAATAAAAAAGATGGGGCAAATAGGGCTTCTGGTACAATGTGGACACCAATAAAGGTGTGGGCAGATCTGCTATTGCCTCTGTAAGGGCCAGGATTTCACCTGTGTTGTAGCAGACTTTTGAGAAAGTAACTCTTAACTGCAGTAAAATACTTTGTCAATGCTTAGGATTTTAAAGTCCTTGCAAAAAGTATTTGAAGTTACCAATTACTTGTTATATGCTTAAAATAATGGTATTCACAGAAGGATATCTAAGCGAAGTTTAGAGGAGTAACTTGGTGAATAATGAGGGCAAAAAAACATTGTGGGAACAATTGCTACAGAATTGCTGGAGGACAAATAATGCACAGTTCAGCTCGCTGTTGCTGTGTGGATGTTTATCAGGGAGACATTTGTTACCCACATTTTCTTGGTGATTTCACAAAATTGCACTGCCACTCCCTTCTTCTACCATAGTCCAATTTTTGTATTGTCTGTTGATAAGTTAAAGAAACTTTATCATCTCTTGAGATGGCTACAAAAGGCCGTGGGAATTTAGGCCCTCACAGTAGGTTCCACTAGTGGGAATTCGGAGCCTACGTTCATCTCTTGAAAACCACCGCCCGAGTCTGCCTGGGATGAAGGGGGCTTGCGAGAGAGCCAATAATGGATTGCAGCCAAAAGGGCTCTGACCTCTATTGAGAAAAATGCTGGATCTCTTGGTTTCCCACTGATTTTAGCGTATTTGAATGCGCTCAGTATTTTATAATGACATGTTCTACTATAGGAAAAAAAAAAAATGTTAATTACACCCCATGCAAATATTTACTCACTTTATGTAATGCATCTGAAATGTGAGCCAGCAAACTATCCCCTCAGTCCACTTAACAGTACTTTTTCCTGACTTTCTAACTTCAATTATTTTCTCATCATCGCACTGTTTTTCCTTAATGCATGGAATGCACAGAAAATATGTACTTGTTTATTCAAGGGAAAAATTACACAAGTACTTTTATTGCATGTCTTTATAAGCAAAGCAACTTGCTTTCTAAATTGTTTTTATACATATTACAAACGTAGAAGAATTAAAACAAAAGAGTACTATGGTATTTATTAACAGATAATATTTTCTTTCCCTTGACTCAGGGCTGATGCAAAAACATGCTTGCTCTTAGGTTTAAATTATGCTTTAACTAGGTTGTTATAAAATCACCTGTGACTTTATTAATCTTGCAAAAATAATAGTTTTTTCACATACACGGTGGCAGGAGAATAGTAGTTTGTATGTGTTTAAACTGCTGGTTTTGTTAAATTAAGTGCTTAAACTAATTAAAGACGTTTTTTGGGGATGTCTCAGCTTTAACCTAATAAATGAAAGGCACAAGAAAGTATACATAGATACTTCCTTATTGCCCATAAATCTGTACATTTTACAACTGTAAACTCTGGAATGGAGTTTTATGACTCCCATTTCATTGAAAACTATATAGGCTATTACAGATGCTAGATATTTGAATAAGAGCAATTTTGAAATTTGGGTTTGATTGCTTTTAATTGTGAATTATGCTGAAGCTGCTGTAGTCATTATCTTAAAAACTATTTAATTAAATGTAAGTATCCAGCTGTGTGTATTTTCAAAGAGCCAAAATGCTCTAAGATCTTGAACAGAAGAGCTACATATATATATATGTGTGTGTGTGTATGTATCACAGGGTTTGCAAAAACCTTCCCTCAGTTTTCTTAAAATTTCCTTACTTGGGGTTGTTTCATTTGCAGCCTTAATGATTGTTTTAGTCTCTATTTCTTGTGTGTAATTTGAATTTTTGAAATAATAAACAGAAATTAAGGATAGGACTCAGCTAGCAGGATCAATATGGAAAGCATCCTGGGCAGAGAGAGGAATGGAGACTTGAATCCTGTTCCACCCTGACTACCAAAGAGGAACAAATCTAATATGCCCTGACCCTTCTGTCCACTGTCACCAAATGTGAGCTTTTCTTCCTCTGGATTTTTCTTCTGCAGTCTCTCAAAGTCCTAATTACATTTCTTCCTCTCTGAGAGACCATTGTCGTCCTTCCCTTTTCACACCAGTCCCCATCTTTGTGCCAGATCAATACCAGATCCCTATTCAAGACACTCTCCTCTCACTCTCTGCTTTTTTTTTTTTTTTTTCCCCCACAATTATTCCCTATCTTTCCTGTCTGAACTTCTTTCCTCCCTTAGCCACCTTTTAGCTCATGTCTTCTCTCTTGGGTTTCTCATTTGTCAGTGTCCTTAATCTTCCTTTTTCTGACAGTCTCTGGGATGAGTTTATCTATTTTCTCACCTCCCTTCCCCTCCCTAATTCCTCAGGAAATCTGTCTCTTGATTGCCCCTCTTTTTCTCCATACCAGTGGTATCCAGCCTCTTAACTCAGCCAGTCCCCGTTGCCCTCCTCTATCCCTACATGAATCTGTGGCCCCTTGGATGCGCGACTCCTCAGCTGGGTGCACAAACCAGCAAGAGTTCAGCTAAGGCTTCTGCCCAGACTTCAGGCATGCCTCCGAGTTAATGACTTGAGTTAAAGAATCAGCATTAACTTTGAATTTTCTGGCTTTTGACTTTTCTTTTCACAGCTTGACATTTTTGTAATGCTTTGTTTTTCTGGTACTTCAAAAAAACAGATGGCGAATAATGTCACAGCAGAATGCATAACCCCGACTTTGGCAAGTCTGCCACCCCATTACCACGGCTCTCCAGGGCTGGTTGATGGTGTTGTCCTCGGTCATCCTGGAGCATTGCCCCTCCTGCTTCCACGTGCCAGAAGAGCCACCGTTCGGTGCCTCATCCCGAAGCCAGCTTGGCCACCTTGGATAGATGCCACCTCGGGTAGGTGGCAGCCGTAGACAGGCCTCTCGGCAGGCAACACGTGGGCTGTCGATGGAGCCAAGGAACAACAACAAAAAAGACAAATAACTGAGGTGACAGGCTGAAAGACAGCACACGGGGAAGGGTCAGCCCATGGGCAGAGCAGAGAATTGATTCACTAACCTCCTAGATGCATCTCACTGATTTTCTGCAATACCTTGACAGAAACCAGATACTACAGTGATAGCTAATTTAAAGGTATCAATAGACAGTCACACTCCAGTCTCCTGAATCCCAAATCTTTTCCGTAGTCACACAATCACCCTGTCCCTCCCCAGCTACACAATATACTTAATCGGTGTGATACTATACATGTCTTCTCTGAACTATGACAGATTGGGGCCATGCAAACCATTTCAAAGGTTTGCAACTTAGTATATTGTAGGAATTATTTAAAGTTATGATATACATGGATGCAACTTTGCACAAAGGCATTTTTTTTTATGAACCGTGGAGATTTGCTAAAGGGCTGGTAGCTCTGATGTTCACCACTGGAGCACTACACGCTGTATCTCACCGGTCAACAGGAGGCCGTGCAGATCCCCCATATCCACCCCTCATCTCAGCTGCCTAGGGAAATAAATGGAATTAAAAATGCTTAATTTGAACTGAATGCCATCATCTGGATGTTTAAATTGGAATTGTACGAATTTGATGTGAAAAAATATATGATAATGTAATTGCGGGTTAAAATGTTATTGAGTCCTCCCAAAATGCAATTAGAGAGATACTATTCATGTTGTGAGCAGCACACCTTTAATCTTAAACTATTTCAGAAGCTCCATTTGTGTGTTTTTTTCCTCTACATTTGCCGGAAAGTTCCAGCCTAGCTTAATAATATAGTGGCAGTACTTCACAATGCTCTCCAACGTACAGAAGTAGCTATTAAACTGTCAACAGTACTAAAAGATGATATTTTGATGGCAATGGATAGGAACCCCATCTTCCTGCTCACGCTACTCAACATTTTTGTAGCTTTCAAGCACAGTCAACCATAATTTGTCACTGACTTGCATACGTGACATTGGCTGAATAGGTAGTCTGAGCTACAACTGTGTCAATCATTTCTTCAGGCAAAACTCACATAGCATCAATAGACTGCTATTCCTTTTTTCCTTCTCTGTACCTCTTGCACTCATTCCTGTTCATCGTCTACCCAGAGACCTCTGGAGAAGTTGCAGGACATGCCAACTTCATTGCTGAAGCTGTTCTGCTGATATTGACCTGTGTAATCCCCTTCCACAGCTGCAGCCAGAGATATCATTATATATACAGAATGAAAAGCAAATTTGGTCTCTGTACATCCTGCAGGGAAATGTTTCCTAGGACTGAGTTGGCCACTATCTGTCTGGCTATCTTCTCCTTTCTGCCTAACCTTTCCTTTAATGCTGCACATATCCTAAAGGACATTTTCAACATTTAGTCCAGGTGAAGAAATAGAGTTATTTCAGGTGAAAAAAAATATTTTTTGGCCACTGTTAGAAGTCCACCATGGGAGGGAGTGACCTCAGCAGTGATCTCTGCAATCACCACCTTGAAACCCTACCGCACTTGCAATCTGGAAGAAACAGCAAATTCTAGTTTGTGCCAAAATCTAGCACTTTATCACAAACTTTTCTGTCCCTGTTGCAGTTTTAAGCTGGTGATCAAAGTTTTAAAAGCCCTTCAATTTCATCTACATCAAATACTGAATAAAGTTGTGTTTCTCTCAGTCTATAACAGTTGAGAATAAATATCAGAGGCAGAAAGACGCTTTACTTATAAGTTCTCAGGCAATATCAAATTATCTCATATCCTTGTGCTCCAAGTTGTTTTTTCTTTCTTAAGTGGAATAATGAGAAAATGGTGGGAGGAAAACAACATCCACCTGGGTTGTTCTAGAAAGGCTCAGCAGCAAACATTATAAAGTCTGCCATGAAATGTTCATCAGTTTAACTTGCATTTTACAATGTAATGGTACTCTGGATGAAATTCTGAAATCATTGCAACGTTTTTTGATTTAAGGATTAACCAAAATCACTATATGCAACTGATAGCTATGTACCGTAGACCTCAATGAACTACAGGAGCAAAGTACAGTGCTAGAAGGATTTTAAGGTATTTCTTTTTATGTTCTCTGCATTTTAAGTCTTTAAACGTGTTCTGAGCCTAGGAATATTTTGTTGTTTGGCAAAAGCATAGCTTCTAGAAAGGTGTCCAGGAAATACAGAGGTCACTAGTGTACTCAGTAGATTTTTGTAGCAGGTAATCACCAACTCCATTAGAAATATGTACCCCAGAAGTGCTTCTGTCTGAGGTATTTGCTCCTTGTAAAGCCCTTTGTATACTGTAGTTAACTCCCAATATCCTTTTTGATGGCAAACCAGCTTGAATCACATATTTTTAAGACCTTTTTCCTTATCAAGTTCAAATAATTTCTGCAGCGATTTCCTACACTCTTATTTGCCAGTGTACTATTAAATATAGATAGCAAAGCTAATACAATATTCCAGTGCTCTTCTTAGCAGTATCAGATAAAATAATAAAAATCTGTGTTTATACATCCAAATAATGCATTATAGATCTACATAAGGAATTGATCAAAAAATCCTTCATTGTGTTCAATTATTAGTTGTGTGAATAATTAATCAGAATTATGATTATTTTACTGGTATTATTTTCAGTTACTGTAGATTTCTAGATGGTAAACATTGAGGAAAATAATGATGCTACCGTTAATTATTTTAAAAACTTTAAATACAAATTACAATGTCACATTGAAAAATGTCACCTTCAAAACGTCCTTTTAAAAATAACACTGCAATGTATGACTATTTTTTTTTAAAAGAAAATTATAAATCTGCTGGTTTTCATTGCAGGTTTTTTTCCCATATCTTGTACTCAGAACACAAACATTTTGGAAGCCAGGTGTTAGCTATTTAGCAGTCCAAGAGGTCATTACAGGAATATGAGCAAAGCCACGTGCGAGCAGTGTACTTGAAGATTTCCTCTTAACTTTGCTCAAGAAGCACTCAGAAACAAAGAGCCCAGCTTCAATATTTAAGTCAAGAAAATGAAACATTCATGTGCTGTAGCTAGATATCGTTGCTGTAGCCGAACAACCTGCGCCTGCCCGAGGTTGGGGATGCACAGCTGAATTCATATTCTGGTCATAAAACCTGCATTTAGGGACACAAATTCTAACCAATCAGACTAAATAAATCAGCAGGCCCAGGTTTTATCATCACAGATAGCCCTCGTTAATCCAGCAAGTTTTTCCTGAAGACAAAGGACAAAATGAATTGCTTCATCGGAGTTGCCTGAGCAGCATGCTAATGCGGGGAGGTGGAGGGAATGAATTATTCATGCCTGAGCAGGCAGATCCTGGCTTCCCCTGTCACCACCGCAACAAGTGGCAGCCGTCCCGGCCGCGCTCGGGCCGCCGCGCATCCCCCGGGAGCCCCGAAATGCCATCTGGAGAGGGGAAAGCTCCGCGCCTCCGCTGCGCCCGACACAGCCGGCTGGATTTCCAGGTTAAGCCTTATGCAAAATGGACCCGGGAAGCACAGTCGTTCGTCACTCAAATGTACCTGACCATAAACTGCTCTGCCTGGGAGAAAACGGGTTGCTTTGGTAAGTTTGTGCGACTTTTGACGTTCTCTGAATCCCCTGTAAGCTCTTTTCGCTTTACAGTAGTTTTGTGCAGTGTTTTACCAGTCTTTCTAAAAAGAGCCTGCACTCCTTTTGCTTTAAAAATGACTTTAAAAAGCCTAAAAAGGTGTGCAATATCTTTATTTTTAACTCTAGAAAATATGTAAACGGTATCTGTGGAACTGATGTTAAAGTTACAATCAAGCCTTCTTAAACTTTCAAATCCCTGTAGCACACTACTCAAACAAACCATATTTATGATCCGAGTCTGATTTCTTGCAACCAAAACTGGGACTAATGTAATTCAGCGACAAACTGGAGAATCTGAATGAGCGTGCGTTATTTTTCATACAAAATGTTGGTTCCCTCTTGTAAGGGCAATATGTGTTGCTCTTTATTCAGCTAAACACACTTCTGACTGGGTTGGGAACAGAAACTGAGACCTGCATAACATTCTTACCATGCATTAACTATTCTGTTGTATCATCAAATAGTTGAAAAGCATTGGTAACTTACCCAATTTTTCTAAGGATAGGAAGGAGATATCATTTTTATGTAAAGCATATGGCAGTGATGAACTAAGGCTAGACTTACCTCTTCTTTATTAGGTGAAAGGCATCAAAATGCTTTGCTTCCTTATTCGTTATCAGTATACCTACCTATAATAGCTGTTGAATTTGTTTGTCTGATTTTTGTTATTTTCCAGTAGTAGTACTATCGGCATTGCCTGAGAACTCTCAGGTAACTCACTACTTGGCACGGTTGAAAAATTTATATAAATAATCAGCTCCCAAGAACAGAGGCCCTGGATAGGAGTGTGAATATGAAATGAATCATGAATAAGTTTTGATTCTGGATAACAAGCTCTCCCTCTTTTTATTTGTCTGGTTTTAATTACATAGTCCAGATTCTGCTGCTTCTACTTTATTTTCTTTGTTTTGATCATAAAAGCATTTTATTTGACACCCAAAAGACAGCCAAATTTTGAAGGGATAAAAGTACAGCATAATGATATCTGGTGCTAACAGTAATTAAATGCCCTATGTTTTAAGAAAAAAAGAAGAGGTGAAAATAGGGGTATGTAAATAACGGGAGATATGCAAACAAAGGATGTAATCCTGCACTCCTTAATCATGGGAGTAATCCTTATTCACGTAAGTAATCCTGTTGGTTTCAATAGGCTCACATCAGTAGGTGCTGAAGCATAAGGCCCATATTTTTCAAGGAGATAACAGTGTCTGGTTTACCTGTTTTTTTCTGTAATGTAATTTTAACAGCAGAGTTTTTAGTGATGTGTTTGAATGCATTAGTGATAATACTAAATTAGACTTTACCAAATGTCTATTTTGCTTCTAAAAGTATAAAAGAGAAAAATGGAATAATGTATTAGATGTGTCAGTAAGAAGGTACATATCCCACATATTTTATTAGAAATGTGCTTGCAGTGGAATAGCACTACTCACCCTGTTGACTGTGTTTGCAGATTACTTTTTGGTACGAGGTATATAAACTTTGCTCCTTTTAGGATAGGATGCAACTTTAGCAAAAAATCACTCTGACACCTGATGTCTCATAACTGATATCTGAGTCTCCATAAAAGTGATGTTGATAAATACAGTTCATCTTTCTGATTTAAATACATGGGGTTTGCAGTAACGTCCTGTGAATATGTTGATTGCTGTTGTGGTCTCTGATTTTGCCAAAATAACACCTGCAGTTCTGCCTTGGGAATAACACATTTGTGTAACTGTTGTGGTTGTGTTGCCCTCCTCATCAGCCTCCCCTGGCACTTCTGAGCTTTCCACTCCAAGACCTGCCCTGTAATCCAGGACGGGCCTTGGGAGCACCTGTGTGCCCTTCCCCAGGCAGTTCATCTCCTAATGAGGGAAAACTAATTACTTAAAAGCTTTTGATACAATGGGGTTGAGAAGTATAAATAGTCATGAACTGTTCCTGGTGCTCTGCAAGCCATCAACCTGTGTTTGTGCTGGATGCCAGCAGTGGTAGTGTGGATATCACTGTTACCCTATAACCACTGCAGTTTTTGCTGTGTTTAGATGCTTTCGCTGTCAAAATATTCTTTTGTGTGTACTCTGAAGAGGCCAAAACAAAAATTAAGTAAAAATGCAGTGGATGATGGTTCCAGATGGTATGCAAAACTCACACTTAAGTGAAGTTGGTATTAAGTACCTGTTGGCTTTTTGTTGGTCATATTGAGAATGAACTGATTGTTCTTTAATCAGCTTCATTACATGGCAAAGATTTTGCTGTTTTGTAGTTGCCAATGATGTATACTATATTGTTACACAGGGATATCACATAGAAGCAGTTTAACGCTGAGCCTATGGGGCTCTTACGGACAGTAGATTGCTGGAGGGAATAAAATGACTAGGGCAAGAGGCTGGAAGGACAGACTGGAAGCTGCTACGAGGACAGACACTAAAGGGACCCTTGGCGACAGGATTTCTTTTTGCTTAATCCATACAGGGTCCCAGTAGGAGGATTAAATCTCTCCAGGTAAGTTCCTTTCTATCCCCTGACCCCTGCCCACGTGGTCAATTCCTGATCCTTGGAGAAGCCCACAAACATTGGTTGCATATTAACTTGAGTTTTATAACCGCAGTTTTGAGGGTACTTTTTTCTACATCCATTCTCCTTTGCTGAATCACAAAAAAAAAAAAAAAAAAAAAAAAAAAAATCACATGCAGCTATTTTTGTTTAAGGATCTCCTTCTGGCAATGCACAGAGGTCAGATGCCTGCTTTAATTTTTATTACATTTTGTGAATTTTAGAGTTGGCTGTTCATGCAAATTTATTGAAGTGCCTTTAAAGCTCAGCCAAAAAAAGTAATCTAGAATGGTTCAGCTCATTTTATATTAAAAGTCATGTGTGCGGCGATTTGCAGCAGCCTGTTTGTTGGTTGGTTGGTTGTTTTTTTTTTTTTAATTTGTGCATACAAATGATGCACAGCAAGAGATGTTTTCTGTAATCACTGGCACACCATTCTCGTGTGTCTCTTCATTAGAGGATGCACATCTCTCCTCGCTTCCCACCCAAGGCAGAGGGCAGGGGGGTTGCGTAGTCTCTGTTATTTCTCCAGGTTAAAAGCTCCTGTGAGAACGAAGCTAAGGGTGTTCGTGCTGTGAGCAGGTTCTTTGTGGTTTGACAGCACTCCCTCCTTTGTGTGAGATGTATTTTGTCACTCTTTGGGGTTGGTGACACAAAGGCAGTGCATTGTGGCTGTTCTGCCTGGCTGTGGGCTTTGCTACGGTTGATGGACTTTGCTGCATCAACGTGGAAGCGCGCTGAGGTTTCCTACTCAGGAATTCCATTGCAAAGCTGGTCTAAATGATAGTTGTGCTGGGCTAAGGTATTTGAAACAATACCAGCCTCCAGGTCTAAGCCCTAGTAATGCACAAAATAAAAGGCGAGTTTTAAAGTACAGGTAGGGGGAATTTTCTGGCTGTTGTTTTGCAGCTGTCTGGGAGTCTGTGGCAGAGAAAGAAGAAAGACTGGAAAAGCCAGCGTGGAGCCCACGCAGGTAGCGTGGCCTTGGCGAAGCCAACACCAGCCGAAAGTCAGCCACTTACTTTACTGGTCCCCCAGGTCAGAGCCGTGCAGCAAACTTCAGCTAAGGTAGCACGGTGTGGTCACTGGCTATGGGGCAGAGCCTGGAGCTGGAGATGTGTCCCATGGTCCAGCATGTCCCTGTGATGGGACTTGCCACATTTGGTGTGTGTAGGACCTTGGGGACAGCAGTGCCATGTGCGTGACCAGGGAACGGTCTCCAGCAGAAGGGAACCACAAGACACTGTGGATGACTCAGCTTGGTCTTTAACCTTAACAAAAGACTGAACCAACTTAACTACCTTAATTATAAGCTTATTAGTAGCTGCCTAGTGGCTTCTAAGTGGAAAAGCTGAGCTGGTATGACTATACGTACAAAGTACAATAGCACAGGTAAAACTGCAGTGCATATGAACTTCTCAAAATAAAGGTTTTCACTTGTTCTCCACGTGTCCCCTTGCTGTAAATCCCATTCTGTGTCTGAGAGCAGCCAGGCCTGGAGGAGCAGCAGTCCTTACTCTCTTTGTGGTCCAGCCCCAACCCCAAGCTCAAATCTCCCCTGGGCATGCTTCAACATTGCTCTTGTTTCATGTGATATTTCTGTCTTTCTGTCCTTCCAGAGAGGGAGAGGGGAGCAGAGGACAGTCACACTCAAACCTATGTGTGTGGTCCCAGGCACAAACCTGTCTCAGATTTCCATCAGTGATGTGCAACCTGCATTAATCACGGTTGTGTGATGGTGTAACACAGCAGTCACATGCCTGACAGTCCACCAGGACCAGCTGGGAAAATTCAGAGTAAACTACTCTCAGGCATACAATGATGATCACTATCTATTTTAAATATGCACAATTTTTCCTCCATTCTCTGGAAAGTATGCACAGCCTCTCACTGAGTGTTGTATCCTGAATTGTTGATGGTGTGTGACAATTAATAATTAGGATCCTGCATAGGGAAGTATCACAAACAACTGAAAATATATCTTTGTTGCTTTTATATAAACCTTTCCTGATGATGAAAGGCTACCAGTGGAGGCTTTATAAGGAACAGAGGATGTAGTGGTGCAGAACAAACATACAATAGACAGTGACAAAATTAGCTGTTGCCAGTTATTTTGGCCATCTTTTGGAAGATGAAGATTTGAGTCAAGAGGATAGAATTTTCCTTGTATCTGTAGTATAGCCCAGGATAAACATATGGAAAAAAAAAAAAAAGTGTTTTTAGCAGCAGAAGACAACGCTAGCTGCAGTCCTTATAGGTGGTGTGGAGCACCTCTGGGATTGTGTTTCTAATCCATCTATTTGGATGTCATTCATTGTGTTTTATACTTCTACTGATCTGGATTTCTAGTGTCTCTTAGAGCTGCATACATGTAAAATAACGTTGGCAGGTTGACTACACAACTGGGCAAGCTG